AGCAGGGAGCCCGATGTGGGACTCGATCCCGGGACTCCAGGATCATGACCTGAGCCGAAGGCAGTTGCCCAACCAACTGAGCCACCCAGGCGCCCCGCATCTAGCTATACTTTACCCATCTTAAATTTTAACTAGATAACCCTTGTCTTAAAGTCACAAAAAATTTCATGGGGAGAAAGTTTAATTTTCACATGTATTTTATACACTTTGAGATATTCAAGAAGCCTAGAATCATGCTGTCCCATCTAATTTAAAATTTACCAGTAGCACAAAAAAATGGGAAGTTATTAATATATTTATATGTACTTATCAAAAATATTACCATTTCAACATGCAATCAATATACAAAATTGAGGTATTTTACATTTTTCCATACTAAGTCTTTGAAATCCAGTGTGTATTTTATACTCAGAGCAGACCTCAATTTGGACTAGACACATTTCAAGTGCTCAGTAGCCATGGGTGGCTAATGGATACTGTATTGGACAGCACATGTCTAGAGTCTAACTCCTATCTCCAGTGTTAACAGTCACCTTAAAATATACAAAAATAAAGCACATAATTGTTGATCCAAAGTTAAGTAATGCTCTGTTAAAATGGCAAGTGAAAGGTTAAATGTTACAGGGTTTAGACTTTTCTAATCGCTTAAACAAGAAATTTGCTTTTAGGAAAGGCTTTGTAAATTTTTTTACGTCAATTTTACAATTGCTTTAAAAACCATCTTCTTCCCATTACTTCATCAAGTCTTTCTGGGTACCAGGGTATTTTGTTCTTTTTTTCCATTTGAGTTATTCATTTTGTCATTCAGTATTTATCTGGTAACAACTATGAGCAAAACATGCTAGAAGCAGTGAGGATATAAAAGATATCCCATCACCTCTGCTTTCACAAAGCTTCCAAACTAGATAGAAAGGGAAAGAGTGGAAAAACCTGTGAAAATTTATTTGTATTTTACTGTATCAGTGTCATTTTCTGCTTATCAGATTTTCCCCAATTCTTTAACAATAAAGGGAATGACTTTATCTTCTTATTCTTATCTTCCCAAGGCCTGACAAAATGCCTTAATAAATATTTGTGGAATTCACTGTTAACAAACTGTATGTTATTTTCTAGAAAAGAAGTCCCTGTAAGTACACCAAGTACTTGAGAAGACATTTCATTTTCCCTAAGGGAACAGAAAAGCTGTTAAGGCAGAAGAGTTACTGCTCAGGCCTTGAAAAATTTGACACAAATAGAAGGTGGGGAGGTTTGAAGAAAAGAATGAGTAAGTTTTTACAGCTAATAAAGTATGAGGATAGAAGAATTTATCACTTATGATAGAAATTGTTTGCTTATTAAATGTGCAAGTGAACGAAAATAAGAACCCAAATGACCTGAGAATATCATTTACAGACAGAAATGGAGGCTTTAAGGAAGTGAAGGAAGTGGTGGTGCTATACAAGTTATATAGAAAAAAGTGACAACATGAGTAAGCACTTGCAATTGTTAATTTTATTTTTTTAAGATTTTATTTTATTTGAGAGAGAGCACAAGAGGGGGTAAGGTCGGAGGGAGAAGCAGACTCCCTGCCAAACAGGGAGCCTGATGTGGGACTCAATCCCAGGACTTTGGGATCATGAACTGAGCCGAAGGCAGCCACTTAGCCAACTGAGCCACCCAGGCGCCCTCTTAACATTTTAAAGCCAAACCCATAGCAACAACCCTCCCAACCTTGCAAGGTACAGCAGTGTGCCCTAGTTCCTTACTTTTGGGATAATGTCTGTTGTATCCATTTTTTGAACTTTAAATTCTATAATCTGTTGTTATTTTGAACAATTTCTTCACGCATGTTTATGGGCAGAGTGAAAAATAAGAAATCTAGCAGAGTAACATGCTTTTATTTTACTAGGACACATATAAGGAAAAACAAATATGCCAATGTTACATTTCCAATTTGACAGACCAATCTCACAAGTATTTATATTTAGGAAAAAAAAAAATCAATTACTAAGTTGTTACCAGAATAAATTATCAAGGAAGACAATCAAGCAAACATCTTTTGTAGGTATTCTTCCATGAAGACAACAACTTCCAGTCTTCAGATTCTGACAAAATCAAATTACACAAATTATATTTCTAAGGATACAGTTTTAACAGAAACAAGAAGTCGAAAACTCTCATATTCATTTAAGTCTCTGTATCTTACAGGAAAGTAAAATTGTTATTTTTTTCAAAATATTTCCAATTTAAAGCAAAAAGAAAGCCTACACAGCTCAATTTTCCCAGTAAGCAGAAACAGAAAATGTTATTTTACTAAACACCAGAAAACAAAAAACACAGTAGTAATCTTCTGAATAAATTAAATCAAATGAAAACAAGAGAAAGCACCCAAAATTGCTTTGTTTCTTTAAAGAACTCTTCTCTAGGCAATACACTTAACACTCCAATCCCTTTCAATTCTCCCACGGAAATCCTGAGAAAAACTACTTCTCCCATTACCACTGAAAGAGAAAATCTCTTCCTTGAAGGCTCTGTCAGCCAGTCTTAATCTTAGCCCAATTTTTATCTTGCTCATTTTTGCCTGGGGTCTTCTGTTCAGTTTTCCCCGCTTAGGGCACCCACCACAATCTCTGGTTCTTCCATCCACCATGAACTAGATCTGTCTCCCTTTAAACGCTCTAGATGTCGCTAAAGGGGGTAGAAGGTGGAGAAGAGAGCAGAGGGAAATAAGAGCTCCAGCAATCTATTTTACAGGACAACCTGTCCCTGGAAATAATGAAGAGCTAAAGCCAAATTAAACTAAAAGGGCTGCTTTTGCAGACGCTTTTGAGCTATCACCTTTTTTTTTTTTTTTTAAGGGACAGGAGACAGATGGAGAAAAAGTGTACTGCCACCCTGGCATTTAATCACGTTCAGGGTAAGGAGAGGAGGCACAAGAGGTATACCTAAGTTTTGTGTGAATTTACTAGTTGAGGCTGAGAAAACCTGGTAGTTAGAATGGACACCATCCTTACTCTGGCCATAAGAATAAGGTCTAACTTGTCACTAGCTTGATCATTAGCTTGACAGTAGTGTTCTGGATCATGGAGACGGAAGGAAGAGGGGGGTGAAGAATCAAGGAGGTCTTTTGGGGAGAGGAATGGAAGGGTCTTTTGTGTGCTGGCAGGAAACCTGGGTCCACCAGCAGTTCTAGAGATTCTGGTCTGCCAGAAACCAGACAGTAGGGCCGACAATTATCTGCAAGGTAGGCAGGAGCCCAAGCTGGGTGGGCAATAGCCAGTAGTAGGCAGTAGGAGGTGACCAGAGGTGCAAGAAGAGCAATGGAATTACATAAATCACATAGACCAAGTAGCACACTGCTGCTCTCTCTGCCCCACAACTGTCCACAGGCTGCGTGCCTGTACTAAAGGCAAAGCTGGAATTCCAGGTGCTAAGAGGCAGACCAAAGGCCCTGGAAACAAACAGGGTCCATGCAGTGCAGATAAAGGTAATGCAATTTACAGCTTGGCCTAGGAGTTAATGTGAATCATGACCGTGCAGCATGTGATAGCAATGCAGAATGGCATGAAGGCCATGTGGAAATGGAGGAGCATGGCCTTGAAAGTCTCAATCTTGAGGTTAAGAAAACAATGTCCAGAGGAAAAAAGTTGTAGAAACGACAGGAAAAGGGAAAAAAAAAAAGGCAGAAGGCATACCCATTTCTGTTGTCCAAGCACAGGTCCAGCAAGAGGTGGTAGGGGACCTTGTGCAGTATTTCCAAAGGCCGAGATTAACCAGACTGGAATCCAAACGGCCTGGGGATCTCTACTGGCTCTCTTATGGGGCGACGTCTGGCTCTACGGACTCCTTCACGCAACAGGTAATATTGCAGTGGATTTGGCCACAAATCCTCTTTGATAATTTCAGCAATCTTGTCAGACTCTGGAAGGCTGTGGTCTGAAAACCAGGTGAAGAAATTGCAGACGACATCTTGGCTCCTGCGAATGAAGGACTGGGGTTCATGGCCCCGGCGCCATATGATTGGAGTGGAAAGAGACACCACTCGGCCAGAGGCTCTGACCTCATATTCTTTGACAATAAGCTTGTTTCTGAAGTAAGGGTTTCTTCGAAAGAAGAACTTGAATTTGCAGCCAGTTCTAGGGTGTCTGAGCTCCTTTACCTCCAAATTGGTTATGTATCTTAACATCTCTGCATCTTGGCCCCTAATCATGGGGGACAACTGGGGGTGGTTCCTAAAGGCAGTGACCCAGAAGCCCGGGATATTCTGAATGATGTAGTTTCTCCTCTCCAGGTAGTGACGACGCATCCGCCCAAATTTATGCTCCAGTTGCTGAAAAGCCCTGTCAGCCTGAGCATTCACAGTGTCCAGTTCCAACTGGATGGCTTCCAGGGGGTTCATGCGGAGATCCATATTCAAGGGTCGGGGCCCTGCTTCTTCCTGCCCCTCCTCTACCACTCTATTTTCTTCAATCATTTCTATTTCTTCACCTACTTGCTTCTCTATCTCCATCTTCTGCTCCACCACCACTTCCTCCTCCTCCTCCTTCACTCCTTCCTTCACCACCTCCTCATCCACTGCTACGGAGAAAATGGCGCACTTCTCAGGTTCCACTGCCTTGGCCTTCACCTCTGCCAACATCTCAGACCCCGGCCTCTCTGGCTTCTCCCCACCTGGGCCGCGCGGCTCTCCACTCCGACAGCCATTTTTCAGGCTGTTGTCCGTTGCCACGGACACCGACACAGCTTCCAGGCCTTCCGTGAGAGGCGGAGCCTCCGCCTGCCCCGCTTCGGTCGCTGCGAAACCGCGATTCCCACCGCCTCGGATCTGGGCAGGGTGGCCACAGCCCGTAGGGGCGTGGAAGGCTCCCCACTCCTCTGGAAGCTGAGGCGGTGGGAGCGCGACCGTGTTCAAGCTTCCCGCACCCGGCTCCGCCATCACCTGCGACACCTCGGTTTCCTCACGGAGCTTCAGGCACTGGTCTGGGTCCAGGTCTCCTGGGGCATGGTCGGGAATCGTGAGACTGCCGGTTTGGGGGAAAAGGGACCTCTCAGCCCCAGCCAGGCCGCTCATGTCAGTAGCAGCCTGACCAACGGTAGACTAACGTCCGTTTTCCTCACAGAAGCCACCCGCTCGCCAGCCGACGGTTGGCACCACCCGCCCTCTAATCTCGCGAGCGTCTCCGCGAGGTTGACGTCTGACGTCAGGGTCGTAGATCCCACCAGAACGCGAGAAGTCGCTGCTTTTGCTCCGCCCTTGCCTGCCGTCCTAGCTTATCGTAGTATCACTTCTGTGAATTTAGTGGGGTGAAGCCGTAATTTGACTTACATTAATAAATGTATTTCGGACTCGGAGACTGAAGACGGGGAGGATGCCTCTGGAAACTGCCTCCAGCATGTAAGCTGGGGTAGTTGTAGCGATCACAGCACTACACTGCCAGTTGTCTGAAAACATGTTTTACTGGTTTTGCTTAAGTATTTTTCAGGCAGGAAGGTAAATCTATTCCTTGTTACCCTGTAATAGCCAGGAGCAAAAACCTCTTTATTTTTAAACTAACTTGAATAGCAAATTGTTTCTCTTTTCTCAAGTAGAAATCACTGACCTCTAACATTACTGGGGGAAAAAACTACTCCGCAGCTTTTTACCACTAAAGTGACGCATAGTATTCCTTGCTAGTTCTAAATTTATACTCTGCCTCAAAGAAGAGTTTGTGCTACATAATGTCTGCAGGAATTAAGCCAGGGTCAATTCGCTGAATCTTGCTTCGTGGCTCCTCACTGCAAGAAATTAGAAAAGCTATTTCAAGTCCAATAATCTATTCCCGAATTTAGTTCTGCAGAGAGGTAGGAAAGGTTGGCCCTATTGAAGTATGTACTCATGGCAGTCCATAGAACTTAAGAGGGATGCCAGTGTCTCTGGTTGTTTTAGTTTGTTGACTTGTGAAGAAAACTGGTGTTAGAGAGTTACAAGGCCTCAGAGAAATACCAGTGGGGGACCTCCCGCCACCATTTTTATAACGAAAAGCTAATTAAAATGGATAATCAAGATAGTCGAAGTAGAAAACAAACTTGCAGAATGCCAGTGTGCAGTTAGTTGACTCAAGGTGCAAAACAGGCCAACTTTTTTTCTATTTGCTTTGCTTTGGGTTGTAGGCTATTTTAATAATGGCCCCCAAAGATGTCCTCCTCCTAATCATCAGAACCTGTGAATATGTTCTCTTCTGTGGCAAAAGGGACTTTGCAGATATGGGTAAGGATCTGAAGATGGGAAGATTATGCTGGATTATCCAGGTGGGACCCATGTAATTACAATGGTCCTTATAAGAAGGAGGTTGGAGTGTCAGTCTTTGACTATATGACAATCAAAGCAGAGGGGAGAAAGAGAAAGAGATTTGAAGGTGCTGTGCTGCGGACTTTGAAGATGGAGGAAGGAAACCAGGATCCAAGGAATAAAGGCAGCCTCTAGAATCTGGAAAGGTAAGGAAACAGATTCTCCCATAGAGCCTCCACAGGAACGCAGCACTGCCAACATCTTTATGATGTCTAACCTCCAGAATATAAAAAAATTAATTTGTGTGGTTTTAAACTACTAAGTTTGTGGTAATTTGTTACTAAAGCAATACGAAATGAATACTGCTTGGATTGAAGTTTGGTTGCATCTCTGTGTGTGTCATGTTTTTCCTAGCAGCAGCTCCTTCGTCCTTGCCCATTGCTTTCTCTGAGCTCCTGCCTCCTGCCCAACAGCTGTGATGTATCATATCCTAAGCCTCTTGCTTATTGAGACCAGAATTAGGCAATATCCAGAAAGAGAAAATTAAAGGCAAAACCTACCACAAAAGATATTTGACAAGACGGTGAACTCCAGAAGGACAGGGTCATAGTTTTGTTTACCACTGTTTACTAGTACCTAGCACACTGCCTTGCACGGTGTTACATTATTAGAATGTTAAATACAGGAACAAATGAACAGAATAGTTTCTCCTCCTGGTATTTGGTGTTTGGCTGACAATTACTCTTGTAGATAAGAATGAATAATGGAATTTTCCACAAGGCCCGCTTCTTTCTTATTGCCGTGAAATCATCCTCTGTCTTGGAACTGGAATAATCTAACTTGGCCCAAAGTGGAAACTTTTATTACTCTAATATGCCGACGGAGCCGCCCAGGCGCCCCTAAAGTTTTGTTTTATTCAAATCAACAACTCTCGTGCTTGGCTGAGGAGCCAATGGGGCGAAGCTACCATCTGTGGGATTATGACTGAACGCCTCTAAGTCAGAATCCCGCCCAGGCGGAACGATACGGCAGCGCCGCGGAGCCTCGGTTGGCCTCGGATAGCCGGTCCCCCGCCGTCTCCGCCGGCGGGCCGCCGCGCGCGCCCCGCGTGGCGTGGCGTGCCCCGCCGCGCGTCGGGACCGGGGTCCGGTGCGGAGAGCCCCTCGTCCCGGGAAACGGGGCGCGGCCGGAAAGGGGGCCGCCCCCTCGCCCGTCACGCAAAGCACGTTCGTGGGGAACCTGGTGCTAAACCATTCGTAGACGACCTGCTTCTGGGTCGGGGTTTCGTACGTAGCAGAGCAGCTCCCTCGCTGCGATCTATTGAAAGCCCTCGACACAAGGGTTTGTAAAGATAAAAAAAAAAAAATAAAGAATAGAATAAAAAAGAAGATTAGAAAAAATACTGAAAAAAAAGAACAAAAAAAAGAAAAAAAGAAAATTAAAAAGAAAAATAAAAAAAAAATCAACAACTCTCATTAAGGGTCTACTAAAATCTCAGCTCCCTGCTATGCTGAGCAAATGCAAAAGAAGAAGCAACTGTGTCCTCTCCCACTGATGATGCTGGGATGCTGGAATACTGAGACTGACATGCATGAAACAACCAGAGTCACTAAGAGGACGAGTATAATTAAGTGCTCAGTTGCATGACACAGCTCATAAAAAGAGTTGTAGGAATTCAAAGCAGAAAGATTAATGAGTCATAGAGTGGTTCAAGAAAGTTGCCCCTAGGAGAAAGGAGGAGGAATTTAAGAGTTTTTATGTATGATCTTGGTTAAGTTAGTTAACCTCTCAGTTATTGTTTCCTCTTTTATAAAATTTGACAATTTAATACATACAAAATGCCTAGCACATTCTAAAGCAAGATAGGTTTGTGATAGGGTCTTAGAGAATGAACAGTATCTGCCTAAAAAGAGAATGTTTTAGATAGCAAGATGACTGTCATGTAAAAGAAACACGTATTCTTTTTAAGACTTTAGGTTCAAAAAGATAAGGAAAAACTTCTGCAAGTATTAGCTGCAAATAATACTATTAATATATTAAGTACAATCTTCTGTGGCAAATAGTAACCATATTTTTTTTTCCTGCATGGCGAAGTAACTCCTTGAGCACATGAAACTTGGTGCAGATTGAAATCCTAAGCAGCGCTTTCTTCCATGAAAGGATTCTTTCTTAAAAAAAAAAAAAAAAAGTGGCATAGAATACACAAATCTGCTTTTCCCTCTAAATCCTCAAAAGTGATTGTAACTTACACTCTCCGTCTTCTATAATGAAGAGTTTTCACCACATCATTTCCCTACTGTGACTTTCAGACAATTAAAATGAGAAATTTAAGTTTTTCCTCATTTTTTCTATATATTCAACCAAATATCCCATATCATGGCTTTTCCAAATGTACTTATAGTGAGAGAAGGTCTCAACACTTAGACTCACCAGAATCCTGATTACATTTATATGCACCATCTATCACTGGAGTTGTTCCTAACATGATCAGTTAGAGGACTAACTGACACACTTGCAGACATCATAATAGTGCCTTTGACAAATAAAGCCACATCTAGTTCTGGTGAAAGCCTGGCAGTAGAGTCTTCTGCTTAAAAACAGAAGGCAAGGGGCACCTGGGTGGCTCAGATGGTTAAGCGTCTGCCTTCGGCTCAGGTCATGATCCCAGGGTCCTAGGATAGAGCCCCACATCAGCCTCCTGGCTCAGCAGGGAGCCTGCTTCTCCCTCTCCCACTCCCCCTGCTTGTGTTCCCTCTCTTGCTGTGTCTCTCTCTGTCAAATAAATAAAATCTTTAAAAAAAAAAAACAAACAACAAGAAAACTTTAAATCATCTTACAAAAACTAACGGTGTGTCTGTACTGGCAGTACATTTTATTTTATGGGGGAGTATATTTTGGCTCTGCTTCATATATTACCTTTTTGCATTTTTTAAAATTTAAATGCAATTAATTAACATGTAGTGTATTATTAGTTTCAGAGGAGAGTTCAGTGATTCATCAGTCCTGTATAATACTCAGTACCCTTTTTGCATTTTTTAATATAAGATATATTTGTACATTACAGAGCATTCCTGTGGCAATTTGCAATAAACCTCCCTACTCAAAAGGTAATCTAATCTTTTCTAATATGGTTCTGTGAGAAAATATTCACAAAAAGCATGAAGTTATTTTGCATCATATCAAAGAATCACAGATTCTTCAGGAATGATTTCTCAGGTGATAAGGAGTTTAGCAGAAGGTCAGACATTTTTGTTTTGCAGAAAGATAAGTTTTATGGTTGTAATTATAGCTTTCATGTATTTACTGCTTCTGATGTACTGGCCACTGTTGTAAACACCATCCCATGTATCATTTAGTTCTTATAAAGAACCCTGTCAGTTAGTGCTATTATGACCTTTATTTTACTCACTAGGGAACTGAGGCAAAGAGAGACTGAGTTACTCATTCAAAAAGACATAAAAAATGGTAGACTCGGGGCACCTGGGTGGCTCCATCAGTTAAACATCCAACTCTTGATTTTGGCTCAGGTCATGATCTCAGGGTCATGGGATCAAGCCCTGCATTGGGCTCCACGCTCAATGAGCAGTTTACTTGAGAATCTCTCTCCCTCTACCCCACTCCTTGCTTGCACTAAATAAATAAACAAACAAACAAACAAACAAGGGGTGCCTCAGTGGCTCAGTCAGTTAAGCATCTGCCTTTGGCTCAGGTTATGATCCCAGGGTCCTGGGATCAAGTCCCGCGTCGGGCTCCCTGCTCAGTGGGGAGTCTGCTTCTCCCTCTACCCCTCCCCTCCGCTCGTGATTTCTCTCTCTCTTTCTCGATCTCTCTCTCTGTCTCTCTGTCTCTTGGATAAATAAATAAAATCTTTAAAAAATGATAGACCCGTGATTTGGATCTAG